AAAGTAAAGTAAAGTAAAGTAAAGTAAAGTAAAGTAAAGTAAAGTAAAGTAAAGTAAAGATCTCGCACCAGTTAGGTCTTTCTCATGATTTCCCACAGTCGCAAACACTGCTTCAGCCCCAGAAAGCTCTCACATTATATTTTACAGTTACAGCCCAAAAATAATTTTAGCAATATTGTCAAGTTTTTGCATTTTTTTTAATGACCTTAAACTTACGGCAACGGATATAAGTAATAACAGACGGCCTATTAACGTATTTAGGTTTTATTGGGACCTTTTGTTCCTCCTCACCCAAGGAAGATTCTGCCTATTAAGCCCTGATACGTTCTTTTTCTTGGAAGAACGAACCTTTTGGTGTCTGTCTCAAGGAGACCAATATCCTTTGGTAAAGCCATTTGTGAGAATGAAGACATTAAAAACTATGAATCATGGTTTAGTCAGCACTGTCTTTCCTTAGAAGAATGGCCAAGCCATGTCTCTTTTCCCATGCTTTTCATCGTTAATTAATTTCAGGAACAATGTATGCTTCTAAACTTTTTCTCCTCTATTTTACACTTTCATTTTGCTCTCTGCCTTGGGTATTCAATTGAGTAGAAAGGCTGGATATAATAAAAAATAAAAATAAACTCCATCACAGAACTTTTTCGAGACTTTTTTGTCCCTGATACATGCAACGTTTGGCTTCCGATTATCGTTGTTAAAAGCAAACAAGAGTAGCGGGAATGGAGAACTAATTGATGCTATTTAAATAGGGTGGTACCTATTGTTTTTCTTTTCTTTCTTATATTCATAAGCTCAGGTTCAGAATACTGACAATTGAGCGATCAAATTGGAGTCATTGAGAACCAAAAGGGAAATAACACAAAGTTTTGAAGAAATATTTTAAAAATTCAGAAAACAGAAAGCTGTAAGTGACTCAAAAAAATTCCAGATTGGGGTGGAGAATGGGTAAAGTATACCCCAGTATACCCCAGAAGAAGGTCTATCTGAACAGGCCAACTTCATTCTGCAATGTTTGGTCCTGTGAGTTGGAGCTATCCTCTAACTCAGTGTTTCTCAACCATAGCAACTTTAAGATGTCTGGACTTCAACTCCCAGAATGGCTGGCTGGGGAATTCTGGGAGCTGAAGTCCACACATCCTCAGATGTTTATTTGGAACCAAAGTTCTGCCTATCTTTCAGAGAAATCAATGGCACGAACCTCTGAAGTGGATTTGGGAAAGCAAGCTCTTCTGAATGCAACATACCTTCCCCTCGCATTTGTCGACAACGTCCACCCAGATGGAGTTGGACACAATTTCATCCCCAAGGCGGTAAAAGGCCACAAAACGAAACGTTGGCATCAGATCAGGTGTAATGCGAACAGAGGCTACTGTAAAAGAGCCACGGGGAGCGCTGTTTGCAGAGACGATGTCCCCTTTGCTCAAAACCTGCAGGGAAATGGCCAGATCAGAGAACAAAGCTTAGCATAGAGGCAAATCTTCCAAAGATTCAAAAATAATCACATCATTGAGTGGTTTGCTTCGTAACAAGCCACTGTGGCACAACGTTTAAGGTGCTGGAGTAGGAATGGGGAGAGGGAGGATGTGGTCCTTCTTAGTCCCTCCCTTTCAGCCCAAGATTCATTGTGGTCTAAGGGTGAAGGTGTGGACTAAGAGTGGGAAAACCCAGGTTCTAGTCCCGTCAGCCATGGGAGCTTCCTGGGTGGCTCTGGGCCAGTTCCTCCCTCTCAGCCTGAGTTGATGTGATCGTGTGATGAAAGTGCTGGACTAGGAGGGGGGAGACCCAGGCTGTAAGCTGCCCTCAGCCATGGAAGCTCTAAAGCAGTCATCTTTTACTCCAACCTACCCTACAAAGTGGTTGATGTGGGAATAAAAGATAGGAGGGAGGAAGCTAATCTATGTCACCTCAAATAAGTGATAATAAATATATCTAGAATATATTTAGAAAACTAAACAAAACAATAAACCACTCTATAGCCAGTTTGCATGCTGGGAAAAGGCAAGGCTAAAACTGATATTCAGTCTCTCTCAATCTGATCCTTTCCAGATGTGTTGAAACTACAATTCCCATAGTTCCTAACCAGCATGGCAATAATTCTTAAAGTTCTCCAGAGGGTGACCAGAGGCCTCTCTTTATATGTACTATAAGTCTTTATATTATTTAAATGTTTTATTATTGTTTTAATGGAAACATTCCTTCAACAGCAAGAAAATGAAGAATACGCATTAGCCTTTCACAAACCCAGGATCCTCTAGACATGTTGGGTTCCCATCCTTCCCCGCTAGCATGGCCAGAGCATTTTAAATTAACTAAACAACCCTCGTTCTGATTTGCTAACTTTTGACATTTAGGAAATCATTTAAATACCAAAAAAGCATTTCATTAATCTTTCATCTATATTCTGAAATGGTACAATCCAAGAAGGGCTGGTGCCATGCTCTATTTTTGCATATATAAATCAGCCCAAAGCAGAGCAAAGGGTCAGTCAAGTTTGATTTGCAATAGTCCACTGTCCCACTTACAACAATATCACGCTGCGGCAGCTTTCTCCAATTTGCTACCTTCTAGATCAGCGTTTCTCAACCTTGGTAACTTTAA